TGGAATTCCAATAAAATTGATTCATGTTTGTGGCTGTAATGTGACAAAATGTGGGAAAGTTCAAGGGGGCCGAATACTTTTGCAAGCCACTGTAGAAATTCTGAGCACAGGTCAGAAAAACTCTCTTTTTAGTGATTATCACGAGTGTTGTTGTGTCCACAGGACACTTGTCACTGCACCAGAGCAGCTAGGACATGAGGAGACATGCACATCTGATCTGAACCTGACCCACAGCTGCATCATTGTTCCAGGTACATTAATGCGGTTTTTGAAATGCAAATGACATGTTTAATCAGGACATTAAAAATTATTGCCACAGTATGGAGGTTGTATATGAAACAAAGCTGTTTTGAAACCATTACTAAACTGGATTTGTAAGAGTTAGCTCACTCAAACCGAATGAGCACCTACTCTGCAGCTGCTGCAGTTTCCAGAGTCACATTCAAGATTTTATTTTAAATTTAGCTTTGTTTTTTGTTTTTCTTTCATATTGCACCAAATCACAAGAACAGTTGTCTCACTGCACTTTATATTGTAAGGTAAGGACTCTACAATACTACACAGAAAACAGAGAAACTCCAACAGTCATATGACCCCTTTGACCTAACCAATGATTTAATGCAAATAGGTGTATAAACACATATCAGTGAGTGAAAAAGAAACACTCAGTGCATCGTGGGAATCCCCCCAGCAGCCTCGACCTATTACAGTGTAACTAAAAGAGGATTCAGGGTCACCTGATCCAGTCCTAACTATATGCTTTTTTTAAAAAAAGGAAAGTTTTAAGCCTAATCTTAAAAGTAGAGCTAGTGCCTCCAAATCCAAACTGGAAGCTGGTTCCACAGAAGAGGGGCCTGAAAACTGGAGGCTCTGCCTCCCATTCTACTTTTAAATACTCTAGGAACAACAAGTAAACCCGCAGTCTGAGAGCAAAGTGTGTCGGGTCACAAATTTGGAACCCAATATGATAACCTTATCCCACTAACGCTGTGGAGGTCCAGCGTTTCAGATCCAATTAAAATCAAATCACTCAAAAAGGTCCTCTGGAAATGAGTGGAATTCTTTGAACAGAGTTTATTAAACAGTGACATATGAACAGCAGAACAGTACATTTACAGCAAAACAAACGATAGTGAAGCAACCCCAGGGTGTAGAGCCTTAAAACACAAACAGAAACAACACACAAAAGACAGACAGGAAAGAAGCACCAGCGGGGGATAATGACCCTCCTCCTCCTCCTGCAGGTACCCTTTCATCCTTCGTTCTTTCTTTTCATCTGCCACTTCTGATACATACGACCCCACACCATAACTTCTCACACACCAGTCTTTCATCCGTCATTGAATTTGTGAGTTTTATGGCCAAAGTCCAAAAGTCTGCAGAAAGGCAGTTAACAGTTAATCAATTCAACAATTATGTTGGGTGTGCATGCCAGACATAAACTGCTATCTATGCTGAGTAAGGATTTTTTGCTTCGCCTCCTGGCTTTTGAGGCAAGGACCAGAATCTCAGGTACATGCCCAACGAGGACCAGGTTTGTTTGCTGTACAGCCATAGAAAGGGCTGTCTGCTTTTAATGTACAGCCATGGAAAGGGAATACACATTTTATATACACATATATGTATAGGCCTGAATCCGCTCAGTGAGATCATTAACAAGACTGGCTACTGAATGGAACAGTTGTCAGCCACCTCCTGTACATGGATGACATCAAGCTGAAACTCAGTGTGGAGAAGACTGAAGGGATTGAATGCACAAACTCTTAAGACTTTATTTTGCCCATGTTTAATATTAGCAACTACAGTTATAACAGGATATATGGCAGAAAGTAAGGAGAAGTATAATAGGTTTATT